TCACGTGCATGTCAGCAGTGTCCCAACAAAAATCTCTGCCCACAACCTTCCTATTGTAAGCCCAGAACCAGCTTTCACACTGCGGCCTTGTTTAAGGTTAGTGCCTAGATAGAGGATCATGTAGTAAATACCCTCTTTCATTTTGAATACAACAGTCAGAATGCATATATTTTTATAACTCATAGTTTAATTACCCTAAAATCAGTAGACACTAGGGGCAGCTAATATTTCATAGCTATCTCCCATTACTAACCCCTCTCCCACTTTTAGTAGTACGTGACAGGAGTATTGACTGCTTTAACACTGAAAATACCCAAGTCTTGTAGTCCATGACTTGTGTTCCAGTCTAGGTTAAGCCATTAACTGACTGTAACCCTGCCGAGCGTGATATTTCTGTCTTGCTGCAAAACAGCAACACCTAGGACTTTTCATGCACCCGTGAGCTTTCAATAGCAAATGTAACAGGCACACGTCACCTCTGAATCTGTGCTCACTCTCCCAAGAGAGATTCCACACCAAAACGTAGTGAAACAACCAAGAACTACAATTCTTAAAGCCGTAACAAGATTGTAATCAGTAGGACACATCAGCTGGGTTTTTAGACACAGCCCTGTAACATGCTCAGGTCAGAGGTCAGATTATCATACATTAACAAACAGCCACAATGAAACAGCCTCTTTAGCTTTACAATTCTGCTTAAAAACTGGTAGAACTGAGCTGTACTACTGTAACCTGCGTCAGTGCTGCTGCAGGTTGGTTGTCGAAGTGCCATCTGGTGTAAGCTTCACCTCCCTCTGACTGGCAGTGGGAGACTGAAGTGGCCTGTAAACAGATCACAGCAAGACCAGCGAAGTATACCATACAGGAAACACTCATGTGAGGCTTGGCCTTTTTTCAGAACACAGTTTTTACAAATCACTTTGCTTCCAACATCTGCTTAAGACTTGCCAGTAGAGGAGATGTGACTGAGGTGAGGAAAAAAAGGATGTGCTTTCTGTTTCTTACATCAGTTAATCTGCTGTGCTTTATTCGAACACCTAGGCATTATCATCGTCACATGATTTCTTTAATTGTACCTTAATTTATGCACAACACTGTCTGTTGTTTACGTAATTGGCCTGTCAGATAATTGAGGATTAGTCAGAAATACAGGCCTAGAAAAGAACAAAATGTGGCCAGTTCTTGCTCTTGAACTAGTGTTTTTTGGATGAAAAAATTCCTTAGAAAGGAAAACATAATTCAAAAAACATATTTATTTCACTTAACAAATCTTGTTTCAAATACAGACCACTCATGTACGTACAGTCTGCAATGGATTTACAAATCATGTAAGTAACTTTTATCCCTAAACTACTAAACAGGATTTACTGGAACTACAGGGTTTGACCTTTAATCAAAGCTCAGTCTGATTGCGTTCTAAAACTTTAATAATTGTTACCAGCTGGCACAATCAAATTGAGTTCACAGAACATACACTGTGAAATTTCCAGTCATACAGTACATAACCAGTTTGTGACGGCAATATTGATCCTGTGTATGGTGTCCTTCTTAATTTGATTATGTTGGGCC